AGGCCGACGGCGCGCACGTGCCCTCGAACAGATCGGAAAACCGTTTCGTCTCCTCCAGTCGACCAAATATCCCACACAACATAATTCAACCGCATCTTCTACTGTCTTATCACACGAAGGCGGTTGTGTTTGCAGTTTCAATTTCGCGCATATAGTGTTTGGCCGACATCCGTTTTGATATTAGCGACGCGGTAAAAAAATGTGCGCTGGACGCCGTTTTTTTCTTTTTTTTATTAGTTTTATTAGCGGAACGCGTTGGCCAATTATCGTCATTATTGTCCGAATGTGAAAGGTGCGGTCTATCGGTTATTCTGAAAGCGTTCACTGGAATCTATTGGCGAATCCGCCGGCTATATGTTATTGTTTTACACTGACGTTGTAATCGAATTACTTGTTCGCCCAACGCGTTTTAATTGGATTTTCGTATGATTTAAACGAAAACGTCGGTGGAAATTACAATCGAAAATGGTTTGTTTATGATATATGCTAATTTTAGGCCTCCAGGCTGCCGTTCACTTTGTATCCATTCTATTACGATACTGTTGTTTTGTAAACAAATATTGTTTTTTTATTTTTCTATTCTACGGCCGAATTCGCACGATCACGATTCGTACCGTCAATCTCTCGCAGACGAGCTGTGATAGATAACCTCCGACGGAGGCTTCCCGCGGGGAACAAATCATAGATCTTTTACGAGCCTTTGTTGTGCGTTTGCCGTTCTCGCGCGCTCATCAATGATGACATAATCTGCTTGGCGTGCAGAAAAACGAACGGTTCGTATTGTACGGACGTTTTGTGTAGTGAAACTTAATTATTATTTTTGTCCGTGTCGTATTGTTGTAATTCGCTACAAGAACAATGAAAAAACCGTATGGTGGCGTCGTTCTGTTTGTTCGCATATGTATTTTTCTTGTGACATGTTCTTAGGAAATTTCACTGAATATAGCCGTGTAACAATGTTTCACTTTTCTTTCCGTCCCGTTAAATGTTAACGTCTCGGCTGTCCGACGGCGACGGCTCTCTCGCACTACACGCGTCGGAACAGTTGCCAAAAAACTCAATGAATTCAAATTCAGTGAACATTCGAGTTTGACTCAATATTGAACAACGTAAACCAAACGTCCGCCTCAATCGGTATTGCCCAACGCGGTACTTTGAGCGCACCCGGACGGGGCAAGTGTGAAATAAATGAAGTAAACCATTCAATTTTGTTTAAGTAAAATATTGTCCGGTCAATGAATTTCAGTAAACTTTTGGCTGCTTGTAAATTTATTGCGATCCGACGTTAATTCTGTACTCCTTTGGATTTCTCACGCGAGTCGCCGCCACTGACGTGTATTCCATTGGTCGTGAGCTTGACGCGTTTCTGTGCATTCAAGTCCCCGGCGAACGACCGGTGACAATTGAGCGGATACGGTTTGCGGCCGTTACAACATCAGCCAGCGTACACTGTTTATTCAATTATGAAGACATCTCATCATTAATTGCATTCCCGACGATATGTCTATAGTGTATTTTAGTCTAACGTAACAATCTGACGACGGTGTTCCGAATGAATTCATAAACATTCTTTCCGGTTACCATCGGCGGTCGGGTTAAAATTTCCATCAACTCGTGTCTCTATTAAAGACGTTGCGCAGTTAACGTCAGTTGCTCTTACCCTGTTGGCCATCATCGCGCTGTTAAACGTATCATTATCATCTTGCCCATAGCTTCGGGTGTTGTTGTTGTACGTGTACACGATGGGTGTGTAAGTGTATGTTGTGCTCTCGATCGTGATTTCAAATGTACACATTATCTTTGAACTCACTTTCGTCTGAGTCATCGGTCTTTGAGTCGCAGGCACTCCCATTAGAGACCGTTCTGTACGCCACACTCTGCTGTTAATTAATTAATTGAGCAGTGTCAACGCCACCAGCATTTTTATCTACTGCTTTGAAGAAAACAATTCGTTCAATACTTAGTCATAGTTTTCAAATTAAAAAGAAAAAAAAAGATGATTCTCGTGTAACCAGCGAATGTTTATTTTCGTGTTATTTTTCTACTTTTTTTTTTTTGTGTGTGCTGACGACGCAACTAATAGTACGCCGTTTTGTAACCATTTTTACATGGCTTCGCTAGAAAATTAAAAATGTGTTCCTTCTTCTCAGGTTGTGTCCCGGACAGCGAGTATCTGTGATGAATCACGTGTTCGGCGACTCGCACGCACTTGGAGTACAAGAGTTCATTGGTCCAATAAATACAGTAATAGACCGTGTAGTGTTTGTGTATACAATGCATTCAAACACCGCGTGTTGTATTGCGTAACTCGGTAATTATTATTACACGTGTTGCAGTCGGACAAATAATTTGCCACTGCGGAAAACGTGAAAACGCATTTCTACGGCGTGTGCAGTTATCATGTGGCGGCCGCGTTACACGACCGAATGTTGATTTTTTGTCCGCGTCTAAACCGCTTACAGAATTTGGCCGGCACGGCGATCGTCCCACTAGGGATGGAGTAGAGGTACGCGCGCGTTAATCGACCGAATACCGTGTGTCATGTGGTCGTCGTTGGCGGGATAATAATTATAACGACTGAACAGGCGACGACAAAATGCCTCAGACTGGCGCTCGGCGGCGCGTCCGTCCCAACATTCCGCCGCGACATCGCTTGGTCGGACAGAAAACGAAGTCTTGCGGGTTTCGGTTACGTACGTTGTTATGATATCACGTGTAACAATAACAACGTGTACAATATGATGTAACGCGGCAACGAGGTATAAATAATATTTCGTCTGTGGTCCTCGTGCGCCTATCGATTATCCAGTTACAGAAATCCATCGGGACGGCTGGTCGGTCGCGACGATTTTCATTCATCCATTCCATTAGACTCGAGGCCCTCCACAACTCACACTAGTATTGCTAGGAAGTGTAAACAATAGCCAACTAGACAATTAAGTCACTGGATCAATTTAGGGGTGGTAATTTATTATCAAACAATTGATGATATTTAAAATTGTCGAGTAACTTACACTTGTTATTTATTTTAAGTTTATACTTCTACTGAGAAAATTCGAAAAAAAAACAAACAAATTACACTAAAAAATTGATAGCGTAATTAAACCATAACACTTTTCCGTGCTATTTTATATTTTCTTTTTTTTAATTCATTTACCTTAATTACCATAAGTGTATAAGATATGACTGACGTTTGAAGTGAATAATTTTATCAAATTTGCACTCGCAGTGCTATATTACTTTTTATCAGGCCGACCACGGTAACCATCAAAAGAATACTTAAAAAACCCAGCACAGGGGGGTCGCGGCACAGTGGTGACGTGGCATAGTTGGATCAAGTATAATGATATCTGACAGTGATTAAAATCACTATCAAAAAAAAA